CCTGGCTCTGATACCAATTTAAAACCAGGATATAATAAACAAAAATATATATATTAAAAATAGTACAAACTTACAGAGCACAAGACTGGAAGAGCACACCAGACAGACGCTTCTATATTACAATGAAAGGACTCGAAGGAAACTTGCAAACCAGCAAAGAAAACAAGACCCCTATTTATAATAGAGAGCGGACTCGAAACTTAATACAATAGAATTAAAAAAAAAATAACACACCTGTTGGATGTGACATAAAGCAGAAAATTATTTTAAAATACTATTACACCAACCATAATTATTGCAATAACTATTTTACCAACCGATATTATTTCAACCACTGTCATTATTACCCATAATTTCTTCTGAAATGACCTTAGTGGATGTCCACAACCATTAATTTGAGCTGAGGTGGGTCACCATTCGCTCCCAATTTTCTTCATCGTCTGACCCTTGATTAGAGACTGACATGTCGTCTTCTGCTTCAAATAATTCTTTCATATGTTTCTGATGAAGTTCTTGTATTCTTTGTTTGATTTGATCTGAAGATTCTAGAAGATAATTCATTTGATCATGAAATTCCTTAAGTGAAAATTCTTGGAATCTCTGTTCTCGATTATTTTTGACATTAGAATTAATGATTTTATTAATTTGAATTATTTTATCACCAATAACAATTTGTGACCACCATTTAATGAAGAAGGTTCGCCATAATCCTTTTACATTGGCTCTATCTTGTTGGTGACATAAATTACAAGCAAAAATTCATAGAATTTGTGCTTGACAAAAGAATAATAATTTACAAATTTCATCGGCTAGAATTTCATTTTTTATTCTGTGAAGAAGAGTTAACCCATATTGGATAGAGATCATTGATGGGTTCTGGAAGAATTTTATTGGTGGCTCTGAATTTTTTCCACCATTTTTAAAATAAATTTAGTATTTCTTTATTCAAAATTTCAGACATTAACACAAAAAGCCAAAAGTGTTTATGCTTTGGAATAATAAGCAAGAAAACTCGATTCATAGCTTGGACATAGGTCCAGTAATTAAAAAGAAATGATTTTTTCTGATTACTTACATGATGAATAAATTCAACCTGTTTAGTCTGGAAAGGAGTTAAACCTCAATCTCTCTTATGCAATATGTGATTTATTGCTGCATTGTTATGTGCAATGGATTTATTTGGTTCATTATAATTATGTTGAATTTCAACAAATTGTAATGAAATGAGGATTGTCTCATACGATCTCGATCAAGACTATCTTGAGCATACGCAATTGTGCCTAAATATCTTTATTGGATTTTCCAAGGATCATTAATTTCATAATCCTCTAAATTAGTTTCAAGGATTTTTTATTTCGTCGTTTTTTACAAAAATTCTGTGACTTCTTGGATTTGTAAATCCTGAGATTGAAGAAATTTAGTTCCTGATATGGAAGTCATTGGATTACCATATAGATATTGTTGTAAATCAACAAATTTTTGTGGAGCCACATTAGGTTGGCCCCTACCTCACCCCCCTCTAAAGGTGAAAGCACCCCGTTGGGGTGTCATTTTAACCCTTTGATGAGGGGTGATCCACCTCTCCTTGTCTTTCTCCCTGCAAAAATTCATGAGTGAGAAAGTCAGGTAAATAATTAGTATTACCTGCAATATATTCTATATCAAATTCAAAACAAGATAATTGAGCTTGCTAATTAGCAAAAATTTGTTTAGAGACAAGATTTTTTACGTCTCTTTGCAATATATACTTAATTGAATTGCAATCAATTCTTAATAAAAATTTTTGATTTAATAAATCATCTTGAAATTTGTTAATGCATTTGACTACCAAAAGCATTTCTTTTTTTTGTTGAATATTTTCTAGAGTGGTATTCC